GCGTCTGCAGGAGTGTTAATGACGTTGGACATCGGTGTTACGTCAGACCGGTAAAAAAGACTACCGCTGAAAAAAATATTCTGTACATCTTCTACGATTTTGAAACACAGCAGATACAGAAGCTGCCCGGTAAGGACGCGGTGCATATACACACACCAAACTTGTGCGCCGGTCAGCGAAAGTGTACAGCATGCATAAATGATACAGATCTCGCGAGGGTATGCCCGTCTTGCGGTATACACGACTACATCTTTGAAGATGATCCCGTAAGGCAGTTTATAGATTTCGCGTGCGATCCTAAAAGAAAATCGTTTCGACGTGTGATCTGCGTGGCGCATAACGCCAAGGATTTCGACGCGCAATTTATACTACGACACATCGTGAAGCGTAAAAGAAAAAGCCTAAAGCCGCCGTCGCTGCTACTCAGCGGTACGAGCATCATAATGATGAAGACGGGCCGTGCGAAGCGCACTACCAAAAGCCTCGCGGATGCGGCTGGTTTGAAACAAAAGGGTGTCTTCCCGCATCTGTTCAATACACCTGAGAATCAGCATTATATCGGTCCGCTACCGGCGCTCGAGTTTTATTCGCCCGATACGATGTCGTCGGCTCAGCGTAACCAGTTTTTAGCGTGGTATAACGAGCAGTGCTCTCCACCATTACCACTCTTACCATTCTCAGACAGGCTTGCATTCCTTTCCGCGAAATGTTTCTTTAGCACGGCAACGTTTGCCCTTTCTCGAAGAGCACCATTATAGCTTCGGCGCGTTCAAGAGTTTTTCGGAAAAACATTTTGCAGGACGAGCAGATAGCTATTTTACTGCCGGGTGGGTATGGATACGGTGAGAAACAATCGCGTAAGGCCGTCTTATGGCTTCTTTCGCTGGAGCATCGTTTGGGCTGTGCCATAGTTCACGTAGGGCACACGCGGGAGTATTGTCTACCGGAGGGTACACCCGTCGACGGGTACTACCTGGACACCGACACAGACTTGCGACACGTATTTCAGTTTCAGGGCTGTTTCTGGCACGGTTGCCCAAAATGCTATTGTATAAACAGAGATAGCTGACTACACACGGGTGGATCCACAGACGCGCATTTCGAGAGAACGCAGACAACGAACGATAAGATTCGGTATCTGGGTTACGATCTGACGGAGATCTGGGAGTTTGAATTCGACAGTTGGATAAACGATCCGGAACAGGCAGATTTATACAGGGCGTTGAATGAGAACCCGCTGGTATCGCAAGCACCGCTCGAACCCCGGGATGCTTTCTTCGGTGGTCGTACACGGAACACTGTCAGTTTTTATGAAGTCGAAGGATCTGGAAGGATACACTAAGTAGATGTGTGTTCGCTCTACCCCTTTATATGGAAAACGGGGCAATTCCCTCTATGTCACTCTAGAGTGTACGTGGGCGATGACTGTCGTGAACTGACGGGTGATCGGAACAACATCGATAACGTGGAGGGGTTGATTAAGTGTGTTGTGTTACCACCGCGAAATCTGTATCATCCCGGGTTACCGGTGCGTACGCACGGTAAATTATTCTTTGCCCTGTGTTGTTCCTATGCAGAGGCCACACTACAGGGGCCGTGTCCTCACGAGAATCCCGCGGATACAGTATTCGAAGGGACCTGTGTCGTGAACGAGGTCAGGCACGCCGTACGTAAGGGGTATGAAATAACGCTGATACACGAAATATGGCAGTATGAGATTACCCAGTACGATCCGGCGACACGGACGGGCGGTCACTTTGCCGATTACATAAACACGTTCCTAAAGATTAAGCAGGAAGCTAGCGTCTGGCCGCGCGAGTGTGGCGACGACGACGAGGCCAAGAAGTTGTATATAGAGGAGTACGATCGGGTCGAGGGTATTCGTCTAGACCCTGATAATATAAAATCAAATCCCGGTCTGCGGTCAGTCGCAAAATTATGTTTGAATTCCTTTTGGGGCACATTTGTCCGTCTGCGTCTCCGTCTCCATTTCCGCCTCTCTCCCCCCCCCCCTCTCTCCCTTATGGGCACGGCCTTTCAGACTCTCTGCGCCTGACGGGTCGAGAATACTCAGGTGGCTTCTCAGCCGGACAGAGGCATCGTCGTAGGTGATCGGCAGGCCTTAGGCGGGTCAGAGAGAAAAACCTCATCTTCCTGCCGGCCGTATCGGCGGCGGATAGGCCCAGAGGACAGCCCTCGCCGGCCGACGGAAACGTCGGAGTCCTCTCCCGGGTGCTCCAGGGCTTCTTCAGCTTAACGGCATCAGCAGGATCCCGGCCAGATCCAGGTCGGCGGAATCGACGTACTGATCCCTTGAAGGTCGTCCCTTACTTAGGATTCTCAAAAATCGGCATCCACAGCCAAACGCAATCGCCAAAAAATATTTAAACTCCACAATGATGGTGTCCTGTCCTCACGCCCTTATGTCGTTGAAGACAGACTTGAGAGTGGAAAGTGATTAGAGCGTAACAAAAACCAACAGATCAATCAGTATTACGAACCGAAATCGGAAGTGACAAAAGGACGATAATAGACATTCGCAAATGGAAACCTTAAGAATAATGTTTTAAACGGAATTTCGCTAGTAGATTGTCGTGTGGAGCTTAAGTTGATGGGGAAGGTAATTGGTAAAAATCATGACGTGCGCGTTACTGTGGTAAAATGCCTTTTAGGAACCTTATTTCTGGGTATTCCGTTCAACATTATTGTCCTTACCATCCTCATTCTTTGTTTGTCGTGATCTCTCTTTCTTTGCGCTCGTCCACCTGAAGTATCGCAATGTAGGTGTGATTCCTGGAAATTTGAGAGGGTGTGACGTACCATATATAATCTAATAATTTCCTAATCATTGTGGTCTTTGACCTTCTGCTAGCAGAGGTACCAAGGGATGCTGAGGTGGGGGAGGGGGGTAGAAGGGAGCCAAGAGGGGTGGTTGCGTCAGACGTAGCAATAGGGGTTGAAATTTCCATAATTTTTATACCAAAAAATATCGATCGGTTTTTAATGAATCCAATTGCATTTGAAAGAGATAACAAAATTAGCAGTCATATGTCTTTGCGTTTTTCAAAACAACCTTTGAAGGGTGAACCAATCCTCTTTTTATGTGTCAATTGAAAAGCGATTCAGTAACGTTCGGTTGCAAGTCTCACAAAATCCAACTCTTCGTTTCCTAACGAAGAGGTTTTGGTTTTGGAGGTCGCTGAAATCGATTTTGGACTTCAAATTTTGAAATTTACAACGCAGATACTGTAAATAAGCAATTTTTCAATATTTGTTTCAGGGTAAATGCTTTTAATTGGTTTCATTTAAATGTCTCAACTGCAAATATGTAAAACTACGAAAATCGCACTGGGAATGCCCAACATTAGGGGTTGATTTCACCCATTAAAAACATTTTCCCGCAGATAAAAAAATACGTGTGGCTTAGTTTTTCATGCTCTGCAATATATTTAAGTTTCATATCCACAATCTATCCAACCACACTTTCCATCTGTGATACACCTATTTTGTTTATGAGCAGTTACGTATTTCGGATCGAGTCTTCAATTATCAGGTCTCTGAGAGTTAAGACTGTTCTCGTCTGTTCCAATTGTAATCTTCTAATCTGTCTGCGATGTTGACAATTCTTAAAGAGCATATCCAGTGTGGTCATTAGGATTATTTTGTTTTGAATCTATCTTCCGAGCTGGAAAATAATAACGTGAATGTGAATTTGATGTAAATGCATTTGTTCTATGCAAATATAATTTATCAGATTTAATGTATTCAAAACTTTCGCCAAAAACAAAAATGGATTCATGTCCAATTGAAGAAGAATCCCGACGTCCTCTTCTGCATGGTCTTTCATTATTACCTCGATGATTTTCTAAAGCCTCAATGCTATCTTCTTGATTCTTTTGTACCCACCTTGTAATTATTCTTCACGAGACGGGATTTTTTTATTGATGTTAATTTCCTCCTACCAGCCTCTCACGTTCTAAAGATTCGCCATCTATTGACTAGACTGAAATTTAGTGTTGTAATCTTAGGAGCACTTATAAACAATCGAATTTCCTTTAATCCTGTAAAGTATTAGCTTCGAAATACCAAATGTGAGACAATAAGAGCAATTTTGGTAACTGTACCATTAAAAGAGGCAGCTCGAATGTTATGGCTGCATAATTATTCGAGAGAGATTATTTATAATAATCAATATGTAATAACCGGTAGGTATTACTAAAATTTACTTCAGATGAATCTCTACAACGGGTCTCGCACACAAATTTTCGTAAATTGAAATTAAGGTCCGAGGTAACAAATCCACGTTTATCGATTCATTTTATGGAGAAGCATTAATTAGTCAAGAACTAAAATTATGATTATTCTTCTTAAGGTTTAAAGGAAATGCATATATCAATATGGAAATTTCAAAGGTTAATGTAATTTAATAATTATTAAAAAAATAGGAAAAGTGTTTCTAGATTTAAAACACGTATTTAAATTAACAATATTTGCAGCAACTACTCAATCACCTTAAAATTATCTGATTTGTCAAACTTAGATAACTAATAATGAAACTCTATGGTGCATCGTAAATTCGTTTTACCGGTTTTTAGTCGCACCTTCTTATAACATTCTAAAACGATATTTTATACAGTTAGCAGTAACTTTGTAGTAATGAATAGTTTCTGCAACATAGCTCGAACTTTTTATGGCCAATTCTAAAATAACAATAAATTGAAATGATTATTTAGATTCCTCCAAATAAAACTAATAAAATAGATAGCAAATTAGAAAGTGCGAAAACTATACTATTGGGACGTATCCTTTTACAATAGTTTAAATTTCACATTAGTCTCATAAATTCTTTTAATTGTTTGTAAACAAATGTATATTTTATTTATTGCGCGAAGAATTTATATTAGTAGAAAATGTTTAGCTACGTGTGATTTTCATAAGAATTAATATTTGATTTTCAGGAATAATTAATATTCATTTATTTCTATTAAAGTTCGTCAATAAACTATGAAATTGTAATTTATTCATTTGTAACATAAAATAGAGCATGAAAAATCGCAAAAGTAGTTTTTAAAATTATACACATTATGCGTCCATTAGGTCGTAACATGCATTAAGAAACTATAGATTAGAATATATTTAAGATAATCATGGTGTGCAATCGATTGATAAACCTTCTACATTTCAATTATTTCTTAAACAGTTTCGAAATATTCATGTATATGGTGTTAAGTAATACATGCTGTATCAACATATATATATTATTAGTTAAGTACGTATTCTCTGACTTTATTTATTTCTTATATTTTCTGTCTGGTTTTCATTGTAGTCAAACTGACAGATATTATTATTATGCTTATAAGCTAAAATCAGCTCTGCCCAGACTGCATTGTAACTTAGGTGACGCTAATTTCTTGTTTTAAATATAGAATTAATTAGTCAAATGATGTTACAGTACACTGCTTATACGCTGCGAAATAGTAATCGAATTGATTAGATCTTTATAAGATCGCTTCTCGTAGCAGAAATAATCAGGACCAAAGTCTATTGCAGATGCAATTTATATCATTCGTATTTCATCTTTTTTCATAAAATAAAGTTCGTTTTCGTTAACACGAACAAAGTCACGTAAAATGTGTTGCAGTAATGGCACTGACGATCATCAGATTCGATACCAATCCAAATTCGTTAAATCTACTGATCGAATTCCCGCAGTATTTGATTTCCATTTCTTCAGGGTGATAGTTGATGCACTTTGGTGGTCTTCGACGATAAAGACGTTCTCTTCGCGCCGTACACGCACCAGGCTCTGTTACTGCTTCAATAGGTTCAATGCTCAATTGTTTGCTACCACAAGGACACAAGGTATCTACTACCAATAGGATTAAATTCGTATGCCGAATTTTCTGGACACTGAAAGGTCTGCAACATAAAATTTGTTGTCATGTAGTTTAAATGCTATATTATAACTTATTATTTTGAAAAACGTTATTAGAATTGATAAAATCACGAAGTTGATTAGTTTACATTAATCGCAAGTACTGATTTCAATTTTATTTTTTATGTAATTAAAATATTTAACGCTGAATTTCAAAAATTAAATAAATCGTGTAAATAAATTTACCTTTCACAACCAGTAACATGGCAGTTAGTCAATTTTCCTTTCAAGGGATTACTTTGACCGCTTGTATTGAGTCTTTCCGGTTGTAAAATGTAAAGATCTGTTTTCTTTTCACAAGCTCTTAGTTTATATGGAGAATAAACAGTAGGCGTTGCGTGAATTGCTGGAGGTGTTACTAGTACAGGGGGCAATGCTGAAGGAACAGGCATTTCCTTTCTTCCCGGAATTGGATCATCCGTCAATTTTGGTGAATAGGATTCAAACTGATGCACCTCATCATTATTCCTGTATTCTGTATCATCTAAAATAAAATTTGTCAGTAAAATAAAAGACATCATGATCGTTATATCATAGTGTGTTTTACAGTAGCTACATTTCAGAGGCCTCAAATCAAATTTATCAATCTCTTCTGTGGAAATTTTGAAGTGTTGCTTACTTAATGCAATGAAAAAACATTTGGCTGAATCCAGTACTCAAGGTTGCCTAACAGAGGCTTGAGTCAACATTGAATTAGTAATTAACAGCTACTAAACCACTACCGGGCTGGTAGTGAATTGCGATACGAATTAGAATCATTTCACCAGTGTGTTGGCTAGGCTATAAAACCGTCTCGATATAGTATTTCTATTGCATTATGTAATAAGCGTTGGTACACCGTCAGCCGAGTACTAAGTCGATTTACCATATACACACGACGTTGGCTCAATATCAGTATCGATCATTTATAAAAAGTCGGTTCGACATCAGACCGATATTGAGCCGTTTGTATATAATGTGTCATACAATTCACAACTAGCAATATAGGAAGCAAATAATACGACTTACAAGGAAAGTTACGTTACTCATGCCCCCCCAACCTAGATCAATTTTTTAATATTTTGTAGTTCATTCTAAACTATAAACAATCACAAAAATTAGCTGCCAAAATGCATATTAAGGGGATGAAATCATCCGCTGAAAATCAGGGTTTTTTTTTCGTTTTGCGTTTATATCTCGAAATATAACGAAAAAATTTAATTAGAAAAAATGTTTGTTTTTCCACATTCTACAAAATTATTGATCAGTCTTATTTAATTCTTCACTGTATATTCATTTAGTTTCGTATATTTGCGAAACGAGTGGGACGAATAAGAGTAGTTGTAGATGGCACGCGCGTGTCTGGTTGTATCACGTAAGACACTCGGCTTCTATGTACCAAGCTGTGCAGTCAATTATGTATATTAAATATCGGCAATAAAGTATATTTCGATCCGCAACAATTATGTAAATGAATCATTTAAACATATGAAGGTAGCATAGGATAGGTAAAAATCTTTTAACTAATAAAATAAGCCGTAGTACATTGAAATGATTTAGATTCTTTTAGCTACATTCTAAGCAGCTACATTTTTGTTGCTTCACTGTTAATAATTTTCAAACTATTATTTCTTTTTATGCTAGAAGCATATTGCTTTTTGTTAAATATACCTTTCTGAATGTCAATTTCATGTTTTGCATTTGTTTAAAACTTTTTTTTCATTTTCACTGTCACGTGATGGGACCATACCTCTCGTACTACCTTAAATATCGTATATTTCTCCAAGAAATAACTTTTTTTCATATCATTTCGTAGATTTTTTTACAAATTATTTTTTTTTAATTTAAAAATACATTAAACAAACAAGTTACTCCTTTTTGAAGACAAAACAATGGTAACTTTCAAACTTATCCTATAGTATTGCTATATCCCAAAGCGAATCTGCTAAATCTAATTCTTTTCGGCACATCGAATTTACGATTGGCTCGTGTAAGCATTAAAACGCTGAGTAGCAAGCGACGTGCTCACACCGTATGCCCGCGGGGGGTATGAAGCAAGACACTTCTTTTTCATCTTTTGCAAGATCATCAATACTGCGGTGCATTATCCCCCAAAATTAGAGGTAATGCATCTACAGTATTCGAAATCGATCATCAGTCTTTCTTGAATCTGGAAAACCGGCATAACACCTCAAGATCTGCTAGTAGTAGTTTACATGTCTTTAGTTCTGTAGGATCAAACCTTCTCACATGAGGGTCGGCGAAGTCACTGCGTTGAACGTGTCGTGACACGACCGCGGGTGTAACAACGAGCGAAAATTGCTTTGACAGAACTCAGTGAACTGCTATAATATCTATTACCTTATATAAAGTACCAGCAATTCTGATAAAGTTTTGCCAACCACTGTAAGTGAACCATTCTATTATATTTAATAAATTTCCGATCTCGTCAGGGCATTATTACACGTCAGCCACGAGGCGAAGTGTCCTCAGCGGCCGACAGAGGATCAGCATACTCGCAAATGAATCACATTTGTTGGTCCAATAACTTATCCACCTTTCTTTCCAGAATTAGTTTAAAACGATATGAGAACTCACCATTCTGAAATTAACCTGCGGTTCACATATACTTTTTGGAAATAATTTGAATTCCAGCCTCCTACCACCTTTGCAGGCACGCCATGGTATCAATCCCGTAGCTAGTCCTCTCCCTTCATATAATCGAACAGCATGAAAGAGTATCGATCTCCTTTCTAGTCTAGGAAATAGAAAACCTCAGAGATCCCACCTCCATGGCTGAGTATCATGACCCCCGCCTAGTGGGCAAGAACTCTATTTTTTGAGAAGGCACGGATAGGTACCAATCCCCATCCCAGTTCGGAGATCCACGTGTCAAACATAAAACATTCCTTTACCTCAAAAGAGGGCTTGGGTGGGAATAAACTCCCACGCCCGTCCGCATCCCCTCCAAGAGCAAACAGAGCCATCAGTGTCAGAACGTAATCATACGGACTTCTTGTAAATAACTTTGCATGAAAATAAGTAGTACTCTAAGCATTATTGCGTTTACACACCTGCCTCGACCTCATTCTCAGAGAATTCGGATCCTTCCCGGATCTAAGTAACTTATAACGTTACAGTACATAAGTCAATACATACCTGCCTATTTTATGATTTAGCACTGGCTCATCATTTTAATTGTATTTTCAAAATTTCCTATAACGTTTTCGCTACTCTTTTACATTACTATTGCTTCCAGTATTTAATTATGATTTAACGGTCATTTAATAATTATTAAAACTTTAAGTGATTCCTTATCGAGTACTACTGGGCGAGTTCGTGCATTTCTTGATATAAATTTGCATTCATTATGCCAGTCATCAAATTCAAAACCAGTGTCAACTTTCTATATAGAGCATATTAATAATAACTTGTCAAAAATAACCACGGTAAAAGCCTAATAATAAATATATAGTCTTAGAATATTATTAGTACGTTCAAAGTAAGGAATCGATAAGGACTCAATAAGGAATCACCTAACGTTTTATTAACTATTACATGACCATTAAAAAATAATTAAATACAAGAAGCAGTAATAATGTAAAAGAGTAGCGAAAACGTTATAGGAAATTTTGAAAATACAATTAAAATGATGGGCCAGTGCTAGATCATGCAGAGTGTGTCAGCTAAGATGCACGTTTGAGATTTGCGGTGAAACGGTACACATTTTCGAAAATCTGATGTCAGGACCATTGAATATTTTTCGATTGCGCATCGAATGGGCATATTATTATTGTTCGCTCGCCATTATCTTCGGCAAATTATCTTCGCCATTTCAAATGATATTGAAAAAAGTTAAATGCAAAAGTTTTCAAATGATATTGAAAAAAATTAAATGCAAAAGTTGTAAAGCAAGAAAAAATAATAGAGATGAAAAAAAATTCGGACGGATTGCACACATAATAAGGGAGATATTTGCGTTAGAAATTTTGTCATATTTTGACAAATTTGTAATACTGGCGGAACGCCTTAGCTTCGTGCAACAGCTTCACGTTGAACTCACGATTCGCAATTGTTTTGCGGTAAGCGTTCAGTCAGACGCAAACCCGTTCAAGGTGGCTAAAACATATTACAATGCTATTTTTTATTACAAGTTAGAAGCTGAAGTATTCCTGCTGTAGATTTCCGTGATCCTGGATGTAGATTTCTTCGTGTGCCTCGACGTAGATTTTAGTCTTCCTGTTCCTCGTCGTAGATTTTGGAGTCTTCCTGTTCCTCGCCGTAGATTTTGGACTCTTCTTGTTCCTGGACGTAGATTTTGAAATCGACGATTTCAAAAAAATCCAGAGTCGACAAGTGCTCTGTAAATTTTATACCGCAAGTCGCAAAAAGCTGCAAATTGGTATACTGATTCTTGGGACGAAAAAACGGGATACGTGAGTAGTTATAAGCCACTTCTGGCCGTCACAACAAACCCCCACCATTTGTATTTCTCTCCTAGTCCATTTTTTCAATTTGACGTATTGGAAGATCAGGTGTTAAGCTTATGTGTTTTGTCCATGGAAAGTCGGTAGCATTGATTCTAATCCAATCCCATTCTCTGATGCTTTGCTTAGTGCAGTATTTAGTGGGCATCCCTGGCTGGCTTTAACTTCATCGATGTCATCGAGAAACAAATGCTGAATTCAAAAAATGGTCCAGGAGATAAATGCAAAATCACGTAACGTCTTATTTCGCCCAGAGATTATTCACACCAATTTGCAACCTTTTGCAACTTCCGGTGGCAATGTTATATAAAATTTGTTGACTCCGGATCTTGAAAAAAATACGTCAAATTGAAAAAATGGACTACGAGAGAAATGCAAAAACACGTATCCCCTTTTTTCGTCCCAAGAATGAGTATACCAATAAGTGCACTTGTCGACTCTGAATTTCGTCGAAATCGTCGATTTCGAAATCTATGTCCAGGAACACGAAGACTCCAAAATCTACGTCGAGGAACACGAAGACCCCAAAATCTACATACAGAATCACGGAAATCTATAGCAGGAATACTTCGGCTTCTAACTTGTAATAAAAAATAGTATTGTAATATGTTTTAGCCACCTTGTACGGGTTTGCGTCTGACTGAACGCTTACCTCAAAACAATTGCGAATCGTGAGTTTGGCGTGAAGCTGCTACACGAAGCTAAGGCTTGCCAGTATTACAAATTTGTCAAAATATTACAAAATTTCTAACGCAAATATCTCCTTTATTATGTGTGCAATCCGTCCGAATTTTTTCATCTCTTTTATTTTTTCTTGCTTTACAACTTCTGCATTTAACTTTTTTCAATATCATTTGAAATGAAGAAGATAATTTTTTTATTTGCAACCTGAAGTTAAGCGAACAATAATAATATGCCCATTCGATGCGCAATTAAAAAATATCAAGAGACTCGGTCGAGTCTCGCGCCAAGTACAGGCAACCGGCTGTACAGGGCGCAGCGCGCCGAGACTCTTTACT